CTCCTCTGCTCTTCATTGTTTTCTGCCGCACGAACTGCTGTTGTTTGCCTTCGAGCCAGCGGAATATGGACTGAAATCTCCAGTAACTGTGAGCTAAATAAACCTTTCCTTCCTTCAAAAATAAATAAATAAACAAATAAATGGTCATTAAAGATTTCTACGAAAAAAAAAAGAATAGCCTCTTACTGAAGGTCTGTCTGATGAAGCTGCATGTAAATCAATGGCGCAGAAAGAATACAAATTTCATTATTCCCTAGTTTCTTATTAGGTCTGTTTAAAAACTGGCATATTTAGTAGGGGCTCATCACAATGAGATTATTAACACTGTTAGTCAGGTGATATTTCTGAGTTCCGTCGGGGTGTCCCAGGGCACTTCAGCAGGGCCCTGTCCTCCACCTGGTAAGTGCCATCACTGGGACAGTTCACCTATCTCTTGACATTTCTAAACTTGAGGGCAAAAGCTCCCTCTGTGAAGAACCACCCACCCAGCGGAACATTACAGTAGTACAATTGTCTTAAACGTGTTATTTGCAATATGAAGTTGCCTTGTGGGATTTTCTTTTTCTTTTCTTTCTTTTTTTTCCCCAGTACCAGGAATAGAACTGGGGACCTTACGTTTGCCAGGTAGGAGCGTATGCCACTGAGCTATCTCCCTGGCCCCCTTGTGGGGCTTTTTAAATGTTTTTCAGTTCAGAGAGTGAAATCTGTGTGAGTAAGCTGTATGGTAGCAGACATGCTGCCCAGACGGAGAAGCTGAGGTGCTCGTAGGCAGGGGAAGTGCTACGCACAAAAGAGCTGAGAGCTGTGTCAGCCTTTCTCACTGTGTGCCGCTCTCCCGCTGCCCTAGGCTGTATGCGCGTGGGTGCTGGAGATGAGCCGTGGCCTGGGCAGAACGGCTGGTGTACCAGCTTCTGAGGCGCTGTTTCCAGGCTGCTTCTGGAATTCTCCGCAGCATCTGTCCAGCCGAAGAGTTTTTGGGACATGACTCCTCAAAACATAGGCAATAAAATCAAAAGTTAGGCAGACGGAACCACATTGCTCTAAAATCCTCTGTACATCCAAGGAAACAGTCTGCAGAGTAGGGAACACCTACAGAACGTGAGAAAACATTTGCAGACCATATATTTGGTAAGATTAATGTGAAAGCATAAGGAACTCAAACAACTCAACAGCAAGAAATAATCCTATTTACAAGTGGGCAAAAACATGAGTAGACTTTTCTCAAAAGACAACACACAAATGGTCAAATATATAAAACAATGTTCAGCATTACTAATCATCAGGAGAATGTGAATTAGAAATATTATTACCTCACCTCTGGAAGAATGGCTACTACCAGACAGACAAAACGTAGCAAATATGAATGAAAATATGGAGAAAAGGGAGAACTTGAACACTTTTATGCTATTGGTGGACATATAAATTAGGACAGTCATTTTGGAAAGCATAGTTAAGTTTCCTCAAAGCACTAAAGATATTGCTAGCAAATTATCTAAGAATCTCATCAGATCTGTCTGCCTATTATCTATCATCTATCTATATCTATCATCTGTCTGTCTGTCTGTCTGTCTGTCTGTCTGTTGCCGTCTCAGCACCAGGTTGCAACCATCACACTCCGGACATCAGTTGATGGCGGCGCTGTTCACAGTGGCTGAGATAAGGGGCCAGCCACGGTGTCTGTCAGGGCCCAAATGGGTAAGGAAAATCATACAATACTATTCAGCAGTAAAAGGAAGGAATTTCTTTCCCTTGTGTCAACCTGAATGAACTGGGGGATATTATTTTAAGTGAAATAAGCTAGACACTGAAATAAAAACATAGTATGATATGATTTGCATGTGGACCCTGAACAAGTCGAATGCAGAGAAGCAGAGATAAAGTGGTGATTGTCAGAGGCAGGGTGGGTTGGGAAACTGGAGAAGATGTTGGTCAAAGGACACAAAGTTTCAGTGAGAAAGGAAGATATTGAAGAGAGCTACACCCCGGTTCCACAAAAAAAGAAAAGAGCTACTACCCTTCACAGTAAGTATAATAATAGATTGTATACATTAGAATTTCTGAGATTTAAGTATTCTCATTACAAAGGAAATGACAAATATGTGTGACGCATACATCAAACAGCTTGATTTAGCTATTTACAATGTAAAATATATTAAACATTTGTAAGTCTGAACAATTTTTTCTTGTCAGATAGATTAATGATAGATTGGTAGATAGATAATAGATAAGTAGATAGTAGATAGATGGTAGGTAGATGATAGATGGATAGGTAGATGATACATAGTAGATGCTAGATAGATGATAGGTGGATGGATGGATGGATGGATGGATAGACAGGTGATAGATGATAGCTGGATGGATAGAGAGATGATAGCTGGATGAATAGATGATAGATGATAAATGATGGATGGATAGATAGTTGATAGATGATAGATGGATGAGTAGATAGGTGATAAATAGATGATAGATAGATGGATAGAAAGACAGACAGACAGAAGATGAAATCTGCCCATGGCTGGGGAGGCTGGTACTTCTCATCACTCAGGAAGCAGTGGGCTCTGGCCAGTGCAGTTCCAGCTAAGTGGCTCCTCTGATCGGGTACGGTTGATCGCCATGCACGGGATCCGGCGCTACCTGCTGCAGGCTTACAGACCAACAGAACCACAGAAGAGGCAGGTGAAGGTGCAGGGGAACTAAGGGCTAGGGAAAATGTCAGATGAATGGGATACACAAAGCACAGAGTGACAAGGTAAGGATCTGGGAGGCACCTCAATATGGAAAACAGGATGGATGGTTGTAGGTTATGAATTTGATGACAGAAAGGGGGTGGGATTAGCATTTATCTTTGTATTCCTGCTAACTTCTGAGGGAAACACTTTTCCAGAAGGCAAGGGGTGAGTTAAGAAAGCAAGCAGATTCATGATAGTTGCCAAGGAAAGTGAAGAGGATTTTAAAAATGTGAGCAACATTAAAAGCTCAGCTAAGACAAGACACCAAAGATTCAAGGTGGCATCAATTCTGTGGTCTCAGGGACTGTCTGACAGTGTTCAGCAGGTCTGGGCAGAACAGGCAAATGGCAGGATTTTGTCACTTATGGAGCACCTTTCAGGCTCAGGTGCTGTTCTAAATACTGAGGACCAAACAGTGGACCGCATAAGGAAAGTCTAAGGTCTTGTGTAGCTCACAGCCTGGAGAGGAAATGCTGAAAACAAATAGGGACGACGAATGAAATGATAGCATATCAGTGACAAGTCTAGAGAGGAAGGGTTGTCGTTTCAGAAGGGCAGTGTGGGCGAGGCCTCTGAGAAGGCACTGTATGAAAAAGGTGAGCTCTGGCGTGGCACTGGCAGAGAATATTCCAGGCAGACGGGACGCGAGCACAAAGGTCCTTGAGCATGCTGTGTCCCCACCTAGGAGGGGGCGGTGGAGCTGAGGGCAGGGAGTAGGGCTGAGTGATGTGGTGTGCATGGCCTGGTGACTCGTGGCTTTTCAGTTGACTCTGGGCTAGAAATCTGATGATTGAGGATGAGGTGGGAGGTGTGGAGCCCGCGGAATGTGGGGGACATTGGAGAAGACATGCTGCATCTATCACGGGGAGGGGAAGGAGAGGAGCCCCGAGTGAGGAGGGGAACTGGGAGCCTTCTGTGCAAATGAGGAGAAAATGAGAGAAGGCATTTCTGAGTGAGTCTGGACTTGATGACTAAATGATTGTGTGTATTAGCGCACGTGGGATGCGCGGGTATTTTGTGTTTCCTCAGTAAGTTCTCACTCCCTTCTAGAATGCTGTCTAAATTATATTGTTATACTTCCACGTTGCACAGAGGAAGAAACTGAGGCATCGAGGTGTGTGCTTACGCTAAGAGCCACGCGGAGAGCAGGGCGCAGCGCGTGAGCTGCACCCGCCCAACTCTTCTGTGTCCCTTGTCCCCTCCCAGCCACACTGGAGAGGAATGGCAGAAACAAATAATATACCGCGAATGTGCAGTTTCGTACATCAACACGTGCACTGCCGAGGGACCACCGCCATCAGGGAAATGGACCTCACGCCACGTGCTGCCTTCTTTCCTCCCCTTGTCTTTCTTCCACAGTACATTTCAGCTCGCCCTCTTGGGCGTCACGAAGGGTGCCGTGTGGCAGCGGAGGACACACGCACCCCCCTGGATGGATGCCAGGAGGTCACTGCTAAGCCGCTGAGGACAGAGGCAGCCTTTTGCAGTGGTTAGTGATGCAGTCAGTGGCAAGGGCGTGGGACAACAGTTAGTTCTCGGGCTCAAGGGACGAGGAGGTTAGGGCTAGTGACAAAGACGGTGCAGAACTGTCAGGCACAGACGTGCGCCTGAGTATAGGCGGGAGCGAGGCGCTTGATGCCAGTGGCGCGGTGGGGCCAAAGAGCAGCAGAAAGGAGCGCGGCGCGGTCAGGGACAAGTGTGAGCGCGTCAGGCCCTGAAGTCACCTTAAGCCTCTGTTTTAAGCAAATCAAGAGAACCAGCAAAGCAAGTGGCAATCTCTCGGTCACAGAGCCAGTTCCTGGTGGCTTCGGGGCCAGAGTCCGTGCTCCTGATTGCTGAGACGCCCGGCCGCTCTTGCTGACTCATCTGCTGGTCACTGATCCCCTATCTCAAGGGGGTGATTGTGGTTAATAAATAAATCCAGCCGAGGAAACCCTCCTGCAGAGCGGGCCTCAGAAGCAATGGGGGCGCCGTGACGGGGGTCCGCGTCCCAGCGCCTGCCCACGGCGTGCTGGCTGCCAGAGCCGACTTTCCTTGGTGACCACCTGCCTCGCAGAGACTGCCTGTTACTGCCGGCACCAGGCAGGCGTTCGGGGGAGGAGCGAAGGTCATCCTCGGGGACTTTCCAGCTCAATCAGGTTCTGCGTGAGCCTTGAACTCAAAGTGCTTGTGCTAGGTCGGTGTGGGTGGGAAATCCGGCCGGCCTGCATGGAACGACTTAGAGCAGCTGTCTGCGCTGCGCAGGCGTCGCAGGAACGCCCGGAGCATCACAGCCCACAGCTCGAGCGGAAAATGAAAGAGCTTTGACTTCTGAGTGAGCTTCCTGCCCCTTGCCAGCAGCGGTGGCAGCTGTTGTGTGTGCACCAGGAGGTGTCTGACCCGGGAAGCCTGAGCCGGCGAGGGGCCGCCCAGTGTGTCGCCCACGCAAGGTCTTCCGTTCACATTCTGAGGGAATCGCAATTGTGTTTACATTATATAAAATGTAAATTTTTAACTCTGAAGGAACTACAATAGTCCGTTTTGAATACTGGTATTACTTGGACAAACACTGGAATTCGTGATTAATGTGTAACTTGAAGTGTTCTCCGTTCCAGCGAAGGCTCAGTGCGGGCTCCGCCGGACTGCCCTGATGATTACGGTGCAGGAGAAGCCCCAGTGCCAGGGCGACCGGGCGGACGCGGGCGCGGGCCCAGCTGCAGGCCATGCGGCGCGCGTGCAGGCTCTTAGTCTTCTCCTGGCTGGCTGCAGCACTTCGCCTGGAGAAGCCCTGCTCGTCTCCTGGAGAAGCCCACCGCGGAGCTTACTTCCCCGGGAATCGCACCGCTTTGGAGGGCACGAGATTCAGAAGAGCCGCCTCCCAAGGGCAGTACTGCCGACGTTTCGGCTGCTGTGAGGACAGAGACGATGCCTGCGTCACTCGGTTCCCCGAGGCCAATGCATGGTGCTACTGCGACAGATTCTGCGAGAGGGAAAATTCCGACTGCTGCCCTGATTACAAGGCCTTTTGCCATGAGGAGAAACAGTGGCCTCTTCCCACGCAGCCTTGGCGTCCAGAAGGTAGGCTGGGGGATGCCCCGGATTCCTAACGAGACCTGCCCCTCCCTTTCCCTCCCTTCCCCCTTTCTCCTCTTCCTTCCCCCTCCCTGTCCTCCCCTCTCCTCTTTCCATCTCTCCTCTCCTCACCTCCTGGCCCTCCCCTCCCTCTCTTCCCCTCCCTCTCCTCTCTTCTCTCCTCTCCTTCCCTCTCTTCCCATTCCCCTTCCCCTCCTCTGCTCTTTCCATCTCTCCTCTCTTCACCTCCTCTCCCTACCCTCTCCTCCCCTCCCTCTCCTCTCCCTCATCTCTCCTCTTCTTCCCTCCCTTTCCTCCCCTTTTTTCTTTCCATCTCTCCTCTCCTCACCTCCTGGCCCTCCCCCTCCCTCTCTTCCCCTCCCTCTCCTCTCCTCTCTCCTCTCCTTCTCTCTCTTCCCATTCCCCTTCCCCTCTTCTGCTCTTTCCATCTCTCCTCTCTTCACCTCCTCTCCCTACCCTCTCCTCCCCTCCCTCTCCTCTCCCTCATCTCTCCTCTTCTTCCCTCCCTTCCCTCCCTCCCCTTTTTTCTTTCCATCTCTCCTCTCCTCACCTCCTGGCCCTCCACCCTCCCTCTCTTCCCCTCCCTCTCCTCAATTCTCTCCTCTCCTTCCCTCTCTTCCCATTCCCCTTCCCCTCCTCTCCTCTTTCTATCTCTCCTCTCTTCACCTCCTTTCCCTACCTCTCTTCTCCTCTCCTCTCCTCTCTTCTCTCCTCTCCTTTCCTCCCTTCTCCTCCCTGCTCTCTCCTCTGCTCTTGCCATCTCCCCTCCCCTTCTTCTACTCCCCTATCCCCTCTTTCCATCTGTCCTTCCCTCCTCTCCCCTCCGCTCTCCTATGTGTCCGCTCCTCTCTTTTTTCCCTTCCATTTTTCTTTTGGGTTATTAAAGTGCTACCTTTCACATACTCAGTATCTGAATCACAGTGGCACCTTTGGGAGCACTCAGCCACAGTAGCAGTGAGCACAGGTCTGGATCCTGTTTAAGCCCTCTTTCAACTTATGTAAGGGTTAAATTACATTAAGTGTGTTGCTATCAGAATTATCTAGGTTTTTTGAGTGAAACCTATTAAGGAACCTCGTGAAATTTTCAAGGCTGCTAATGTACTTGATGTGTATGGAGCTACTTGGCCTGTAACATTACAACCTGTGTATTAGTAAAGTCATTAAAGCCAAGATAAAAGCAAAATGCAGCCAGCGACTTCCCTACCTAAGGAAAAGCAAATAAATCCTTTATGTAGATGTCTAGTGTATTTTTCAGACCTGAAGATTTTAGTATTATTTCAAAGCAAGGAGGGCTTTATGTCAAGTAGATGTAAAAGTTTTAGTGGATAAATGCAAACGATCTGTAAGGGAAAGGAAGGCAGTCACTGCACTGGTCTAATGATGAGGAGAGATGCTGACCTTGAGCAATTGATACAACCAAACTCTGAGACAAAAACAGACAAAAACTCTACACAGACACTGATAGGAACCTTTATCTTTTTTCTCTGTGCAGCAAATCTCCACAGGAGAAGGGAAAATTCAGGGTTAACTGGGACTCTGTCACACTACTGTAAATGAGTGACTGTGCCCAGAAATTACAGTGAGAAGTCATTTTAGGTGTCATGGACTTGATATCTTAATTTCAGAATCCAAATGCTGCTGTCTTCTTTTTAATATTATCTGATTTGTAAAGTTGATAGAAATTTTTTTTAAAGACATGCCCATATAACAGTTTTCCACAGAATTTCCTTTTTTCCAAGGTATTGCATTTATCAATAAGAAACTTGACTAGCATTCACCTCGCCCTGCAGAGTGGCACACAGTCTGCTTGGAATAAGCGGCCTCATCTTTGGCCCACCCTCACTCAGTGCCTCTGCAGCACTGGGCAGCATGCTGGGCACCGCATCTGCCATGGAGGGAGAGCACAGAGCTGAGTCTCCTGTAAATCGCAATCAAATTTGTGAGGTTGCTAGATATGTAAAGAATCTGCTGTATAGTGCAAATTGTGCTACATTCTCTAAAGAAAGTACTTAGAGCACTGAGGAAAGCATCACCTAGTGCAGCACTGGTATGTGAGAAATTTGTAACATTCACTGGAGTGGGAGGTGGGGAGGGGACATTTAAATGGAGATGGGAGGAATAAGGAATGATAACTGGAGGAGAGTTGGCAGTTACTACTATTGTAGATCGTTTATTAACGAAATTTCATACACTATCTGGCAACTTTTCCCAATTCTTTTATTAAAAATGACAATACATTTTTATCATATTAAAGATTTCCTTACTCAACTCTCAAGGTGAAAATTACACTTAGTGGAAAAATTGTAGGTGTATTTCCTTTAGAACTAGTAGCAAACCATGAACGCCCAGCATCTTTGCTGCTGGTCCTTGTGATGCTTGTTCTGGTTTAGCTCTAACGTGCTCCTCAAAAGTCTCATGTGGTCAGAGATGGGGCTTTGGAAGGTGATCATGTCACAGCACTAATCCAGGGCAGATCCTAACTGAACAAGCTGGGAGGAGGTGGGCCTGGCATGCCACTTGGGGTGTGGCCCAGAGGGCGTTCTTGTGCCCTTGTCTGTTCTTTGCCTCTGCTTCCTTGCTGCCATGGGTCAAGGTGCTCTGGTCCCCCACACCTTCCTGCCTTGGGACTAGCTCCTTGTGCAATCTTGAGCCAAAATTGACTTCTCTTCCTTTTGGTACTGGGGATTGAACTGAGGCCTTCACGGTGAGCTGCGTCTGCTTTCTAATTTTTATTTTGAGACAGGGTCTTGCTAAACTGGTCAGGTGTGGGGATCTGTTCTCTCAGTAGTCCCAGGGAGAAAATGGTGAGAGGGTTGAGAAAATGAAGGTGAGATAATAGCTGAGGTCAGGTGGTGGATCAAGCCTGATAGCAAAGCCCCCAAACGACAGTAAGGGCCATTATTTATACCTTTACAAAGTTCCAAGACAAAAGGTCTCTAGTTACTAATAGTCCACGGTGTCCAGGCAGGTTGCTTGTCTCAAGACGGATGTAGCTTGACTACTTTAGACAATGAGGCCTCATCATGCCCTCCCGTATATGATCAATTTCAGCTTTAGCAGCTTCAATATAACTCCCTTTTTTGTTTTGTTGTGTGGATAATGGGTGCTCTACTGCAGTTGAAGAAGATATGTTTGGGGAACTCTTAAAACAACCTTTCCATTCTAGATGATGGTCCAAAGATTTTTGGTACTTGTACTCAGTTTGACCCAATATAGTCCAATCGTCCATAACAGTAGTGAGTTATCAGTACAGCTGGCAATTGTCAGAAGTTGTTAATGATTTGAGATTTTACTGCTAGTATAATATGACATCATTGCTTTTTAAATCTCATGTTTACATTTTTCTGCCAGGTGGTTAAGACCAAGTTAAGGTGAGACCTATATAAATAGAAATTATACCTTTTTAAAATTTAACAAGGTCAGTTAAATTGCCTGAGGATTTACCTTGGAACCATGTGCACCTTAGATCTTACCTCTTAGCTCTTCTGTCAGTGTCAGTCATCTGGATGAGGCATGGCATTGCTTGATGTATTTGTCTGTTGTGAAAGCTGGAGACATATTTTTTCTTCAGGTGACTCTCCTGAGGTACACTACACATTGTCAGTCACTTTCCTTTCTGGCCCCATAATCTCCTTGATCAGAAAATCAGGGACTCAACTGAGTTAGAGGATGACACAGCAGAGATTTTCTGTGTCATGAGTCCTTATAGACCTTGGAGGGATATGGCCAAATATTGGCTGTCCTTTCAGCCAATCTATCTCTCTAAATTTTTATGTCCAAAATTTAGTTGTTAAACATCCAGAAGAAAAGCTTAATGACATAACCCTGTAATGGAAGCAGCAAGCTTAACATTACTATTTATCTGAATATCAAACACCATACACATAAAATGGAACTGTTGTTTTCTAACAACCATGCATATTATAATATTTAAATCCATTTAGGATGCTAACAGGCATAAATTACATATTTTTAAACAAAAATTTAGAAATCAAAACCATACATAACATTGTGGTATGATAATCCTGATGACATTTTGTGACATACTTAAGTTTTCATTTTTATGCAACACTTTTAACAAATAATCTCTATGTAATACATAAGAAATTTTCACCCAAACAGTCATCCTTAAATCAGATATACTTCACAAGTTTTTCTATCAAAGGCAGAGGTCTAAATCTGAGAAAAAGACTTATCACAATAGACTATTTTTGTTACGTTTTGGAAGACCTGTACATCAGCAATAATGAATACATTTAATTATTGTGCATGAGATTAACAATAATAAATTACCATACATATGTGAAAACCTTTGATTCTCAATTTAGTTTCATACAAAGAGTATCTTTTAAGAGAAAAACTTATTGTAATTTTTTTTCTGAAAAAACTATCTTTTAGCCAATGATCAAATTATTGACATTGTCTCCAAAGAAACTACTGAGATTATTGGCAGCTCCTTATAATGAACAAAGATTGACCACCCCTCTGTTCACCAATTGGAGTCCTCTCTAATAATTTCTCTCCACCCTAAGAATTATCATAAATGTTTTGATGACCTGTGAGTAAACCAATTTTATATCACTTAAACCAGCTGGTAACTTAGGAAAGAGCATGCTTTTAAGTCTATACCCCAAATTGTATTATGAACAAATGTTCAAAAAAGAAAAAAGAGGAGCCGTGGATCATAGAATGACATACAAACACCTAAATAAATACACAGAACACAAAACAAACATCTTTACAAAATCGGAGTACCCTCAGATATAATCTTGACCAAAATTGAATTATAGTAACTCTATCACAATTTTTATAAATTTATAATTATAAATAGACTAGTCATATTTTGTTGTCAGTTAGTAGAGATAGTTTATCAGAAAAATTTTGGAAGAAATAGTCTTATCTGTAATTAATATGCACATTTTGTATTTTTGTATTTTGTGTCTTAATAGTAGTAAAATTTAGCTCAGTCATTTTTATGTATTTTA